AAATTCAAGCAATTATTTTCATAAATTTCCCAGATAAAATTTCGAGAATTAATTAAATATTTATAAAAATAATAGAAAATAATGTGAGATATTTCAAAATTTCACCTGAATCTTCAGTAATTTCAAGGCCTTCAATTAATATCAAGCACTAATTGAATTCTCATCAAAACAATTAGTCAGCTCAATGAAAAATAGACTAAAAATTACAGACGAAAAAAAAAAATGTCAGAACGACTGAATGGGTTTTTATAGGGCGAATAAAAGAGGTGTGCTAGTGTTTAATACAAGTGAGAATGATTTTCGTTGATTGAAATGGGAAATGAGAAATGAAGAATGAGAGAAATGAGAGGAATTATGAGTTATGCAAGAGAATGGTGGAATTATTGAGCGAAGGGTTGGCCCTTTCACCCGACGTAACGTTGGCACAGCGCAATGCCGCAAAAGACGCATTACGTCACAGACGTTGAAGCTCTTATACATATCATCCAACGATACACATATAAATGTATTACATTAAATTGCCAGTGGAGGTGAGCGGAAAAGAGTGAGAGATGCTGTCGACATGGCAACGTCGTTCAATTCTCCCCCACCATCTTTTCTATTACGTCTGTCGTGTTTATCGTCATCGTTCCGCATTGATATGATATGAATTATTCGACTGACGAGTTGCCCCTCAACAATAATAATAAATTCTCACCCCCTCAAATTTTCTCAAATCGTTATCTAAAAATCATTGACATCCCCAAAGGATTCTCCTCCTCGCCCTGATTCTCCATTAATATTCTCCAATTTTATAACAAATTTATCCATCAATTACATCATCAATTCATTACGGATTAATATGGGCAGTCTGTTAATTATTATGTGAGACTATTATTGTAAAATTGGAAAATAATAGTATAATAATTTTATAATAATAATTTTTAATTGGAAAATTTTTCGAAAGAAATTGGATCACGTTTCTTAGAAATATTTTTCATCAGATTAATCATTCAAAAGATTAAATGAGAAATGTATTTGGGTTATCATGGATTTAATTGATAATTGATTACAGGATGGATTAGTGATGGAGGAATTTTTTGGAAGATTGGTGGTGTCTTGGAAATTTTTTAGTTGAACATTGAGGAAGAGATATGAGATCGAGTTAATCGAAATTGTATTATCCAATCGAGTCGTTCCCTCCTCTCGTTATCCAATGACCAAAAAAAGTGTTTTATCAGGAGATTTCGTAATGATCGGTTTCTTTTCCGCTCGAAAATAGACGTTCATTTGCAACACTAGGTGCCTCTCTCACTCGCCCTTGTATATCTTTGCATAATAATAGATTTCACATCGATCGACCCATTATGTGGCCCTATACGTGCAACATGAAAGCCAAAAATCTCCACTGAGGAGAGGGTTCTTCGAAATGGAGCGGTTTCGAGGTGTAATTACTCGAAATCCCCAGAAACTGACCATTTTTCCCCCATTCTCTCATACTAAATTGTTGATATTCCCTCGAGAATATCGCAGTATTTTCTATCATAACACAAATCCAATAATATTATAAACCGAGGAAAAACGAAAAACATATTAATTATTACATATATAAAATATAAATACTCGACTGAAGGTCTTCGGGCGATGGCCAATTGCAAATTATCACGCATTTTTGGAGAATTAAAGGAGATTAAATATTTCAAAAACAAAATCACAAGAACTGTTCTGATTTTTATTACTGAAAAATTGTTTTTTGTAACAATTGAATGGAAAAAGAATGGAATAATTGATTTTTCGAAAAGAAAAATGTGAGGTCTTCCAATTATAATGCACATTGGAATTTTTGTAGTAGAAACTCCCAGGAAATATAATTTTGGTATTTTTAATGGAAAATTCCAATGTTCATTTAATAGGGCTTCCCAGAATTTCGTTGGCCCAACGATCTAGGTCACAGATTCAAGTAAAATGGTGTGATAATATGAGTATCTGGTTCTCTGGAGCATGAAAAGTGTTGGAGGCCCGTAAATGGTTTTATCAAACACTAGATCAATGTCAGGCAGAAGGAGAATGATTCAGTGATTCGGGTCTAGGTTGAGAATGACTGATGACGATTCCCCAAGTGCTGTTGCAGTGTCTGCGGTGGATAGAATATCGTGCACTGAGAAAAAATATCTATTTTCACCAGGAATATAATATTCCTGATATCCTTTCGATACGATTACCACAAGAAAATATCTTCGTAACGTATTCCTCCAGATCAGTCACTCCCAAAATCAATTTCAACTACTTCAATGACACTATTCGATAATTACCCACATTTCTTGGAATTTCAGTTACAAAGTCATCCAAATTTTCAATTCCAAAAGCTTCAATTAAATTACATCTGAAAGTTAATAATTATTCAACTATCCATGAAATTAACTGATTCCCTAATAATAAATTTAACATAAATTTATAATCTCTTCGCAGTTGTTACAGCCCTCAAATTCCCCACTTGAAATTTCAAGTAAAATTCTCCAAAAATGTATTACCATTCGACATAATTCCAAATTACTTGACATATAACTCGAAATTCGGAGAATAATGGAAGTCGTGGGGTAATAAAATAATAAAATATCTGAAGAGTATCTGAATAATCTGCAAAGAGTTTGTGATATTTAAAAAACCTGATTAAAGATGTGGCTGCCCTGGATGCCCGATTTGATAAAACATATTCCGTTCTGTATTTCGATGAATATGAGTGCTCAGGTGGAATATATTTTTGGAATTATTTGGAAATGTTTAGTGTGAGGAAGTTGGGAATTGGTATGGGCATGTAGAAGGCGGGCGTTGGGTACGTAGTGTATTTGCCGTTGGTTGGCGCGCAAGTCCGCGTTGCCACGATCGCCCTGGCCCACTGACCTATATTGCAACAGCGGGTACAGGTCCCGCATACGAGCCTCGTCGCTACCTTCTACCTTCTACCTTCTACCAACCATAAACCCCGACCAATACTTACCAGCCAGCCTCAAGCCCCCAGATGAGACAAACTTCCACTTTCCTCCATTTACCTTTTTTCCCAATTAACCACTCCAATCTTTACCCATTATCATTCACCCACGCACCATCAATACCTCACACTTGGGCATCGCAATAACCCAACTACTCCACTCAATCATTTTTTTTTAGTACTCAAATCACTTTTATTCAGCAATTTTTAAATAATTACAGCAATAACTCAACAACTCGTTATAATAACTCGTTATATTCATTACTATTTACATCTAATTATTGAATTTTTCTTCAATATTGTTGAATTAATACTTGTTGTTAATTGTTTTTATCCCGTACTGTTGGATCCGGTGAGACGGATGATTAACGAATAATTAATGGTAACTGAAAATTCATGGTAACTTTGTTAATCGGTGATGAAATGGTAATTAATGATTTCCAGCGTTACTGACACGATTGCAGCTGAATTCTAAATGCTGTGGGTTTTTATTCATTGTAGTATGAGAATGGACGTAAATTTGATGTTGAGTTTTGTTTGAAATTCTAAGAATCATTTTTAGTACATCTTCGTGCCTATCCTATTGTTGAAGCTGAAAGGGATAACGATGCCTCTCCTTTTCTCAAGATTTCCTTTCATTTTTTTAATGACTTATTGAGAATCTCATTAGTGAAGTGATGCGATTGATAGAAAATGTTTAATGATCACTGGTGAATATCATTCACGTGGAGTTTTGTCGGGAATATCTTTCAGGATGCAAGGAGTTTTATTTCCACCATTCGTTCTTCAAGTAGGCGGACGTAAAAAATAAAAATAGAGCTACGTCTCAATCTCCAATTCTCGCCAACACATTTCAACTGGAACGTTAAGCTTTTATCAATTTATTTTCGCCCCTTTTATTTCATTTTTATGATTTTTCACGCACATTTTGGTTTATCCATTTGTTTATTTCACTTCGCTCTCGATGAGTTTATGCCACAACTTCAGCAAGACGCCCAAAAAAAATTATCCAATTTACAAAAACCTCATGATAAAAATCAAATAGACAATTATCTCTCGAAATATAATCACGGATTTATCTAAAAAAAATATTGATGTTCGGTAGAAGAATTCAAACAACCGTTTTCGTCCGGAATTTAATGGTCAATAAAAAATTGTTTAATCTCCTCGCATTAAATTAATAGTTTTTAAGATAAAGCGATTATTAATGTCGAGTCATTTTGTTCCATCACTTAGCCGGGGATTTTTCATAAATTTTTGAAAAAACTTTTGCACGTTTTCCATTGTTGGGGATAAATTGAATCCCCAGGAAATAAGAAAAAAGAATTTCTCATTTTCTTTGAACAGAGAATTCGTGCACGGCTGTTCGATCCACATGACGTATACCATGTAATCTCGTTGCGTTGAGCCTCCGCTCCCAGTGTCTCTCATTCATCACAACCCCATAAAATTCAGGAACCGGATTTTTTTTTTCCTGCTGTGAGAACAGTACTCCCTTATCAATAAGTAACCGAAGAAGAGAGTGCACCTTGACATGGAATTTCCTTACTCATACGCATGGAAAGTAATGCATCATTCACTCGGAATGCACAACTGTTAAATGATAAATAACGATTGGAAGGGAATGAATTCAATCTGAATGATGACTTCTCTCATCAGTCGACTTCAATTTCTATTCTACCTGCGCCTCCATCAATCAAATGAATTACTCCAACGAAATAAAAACCACTGAAACAACAACAATAACAATAATTCATTCCGCGTTACAGTTCAATGACGCATATACATTATCTTGGTTAACAACCAAAATTATCTAGAACGATTTCATTTTCGTTTTTGTCAAACATACCGAAGGACACGTGCAAGATTGGTGTTTCATGTAGTCATGCAATTCAATTTACCCAAACGAGCTGAAATCACGTGGAATTGAATGACTGCTATCTGATGAAAAGGGAAAAGAGAGCATTAAATTGCGGGAAATATCAGTCTGGTTTATTTTTTATTCTAATTTTCTCTCTTTCTGGCTTTTCAGGCCTGGCCCTGGGGAGTTGCAAGACCCATTGTGGGTTAAAATGAACGCGATCACTGGTGGCATCACGAAGAAGAGAAAGAAATCAGATGCCAAGCCTCAATCACAAATGTAAGTAATCAAGAGGTTGATTCGTCCTTATTCCTTGACCCTCAAGTTCATTGATCAATTCAAGGGATTCATTACTTGGCAATGTCAAATACCTGCTGAATGCAAAAACAATCACTTAGTTATGGAAATACTGAAAAATAATTGATAATAATTTGGATGCAAATTGGATACCAATTGAATAATCGTCTTAACTTACGTATTGGGTGAATCGTCTTGTTACCTTTTAGCAATCAAGTTGACTTATGCATGTGTTCAGTTTCCAAGATGTATCTCTGAATCTATGAGATACGAGATGTTACAAGAAAGATCCTCATAAAGATCTCGCTATTTCTGTTCGATTCATAGATATTCCTCTGCGTATTCCATTCGTTTAATTATTTGCACTGAATAGATTGGTAAATAATCCCGTATTAATCGTTGAAATTGTGTGGATCTTTCAGTAACAAGTGCCTTAACGAAAAGAGACGACGCACCCAGGAGAACCTGTACATCGACGAGCTTGCCGAGCTGATTTCCGCCACGGACATGAGCTCTGGCAAGACCGACAAATGTCAAATTCTCCAGAGAACCGTTGATCAGGTGAGCTACTGTCATCATTTCAATTACTAAAAGTAAATTCATCTACAACTACTGAATGATCAATTGATTATACGTAGTTTAGTGGTTGAAATTGAACGATACAATGGAGGAAAGTGTGAGCGAAGTATAAAGTTCAATCACCAACCGAGTTGGCTGAGAATAAACTGCAAGGTCGTTAAAAGAGAATTGAACTGAAATAAAAAGAAAATACCAACGTTGACAACAACTTTGTCAATGATGTAGTAACGCGTTTGGAGGGACTCGTGATGCCACCAGATATGATCCACCACTTTAGTCCATCAGAAATATTTTTATCTATTTTCATTAGTAATGACCGAGTGAAGCTGCGGGATATGATTCAACACTCGGAATTGAATTAATTCATTCGAATAATCCATGCGAGTCCATCAGGGCGAGTGGTGCAGAGAGAACTTTGAGGTTTTCGTTAGGTGTTTCGTCGTAGCTCTCTGGCTCTTTTTTCTTTTTTTTTTTTTTTCTTTTTAACGATGGTAATAGTATTTCTTTCTTGTATGTGGTGTGTTTCGGAGTTGAGAAGCGGCAACATCGCCCTCGAGCCCCCGACGTTTGTCGGACTCTCTGTGGGAGTCACCGACTTCTCGAGGCCACGCATTAACTCACATTGAGATTACGACGCGATCTATCGGCGTCGGGAAATATAAACGTCAAGGACATTTTTCTTTTTCGTGGTCATAAAAAATTCACTCGGCCGGTAAAACATTGCCCATTATTAATTTACCCAATTATCATTCTCGCTAATTTCTTTATTCTTCATTTTATCCTCAGTTACTTTTTCGGAGTAATCGCCTATTATACTTAATCATTTTTTGGGAAAAGACAAGTGGAAAGAGAGAAAATTTTTGTCAGGATATTTTTTGTAGGTCGGAATTCGTTTTACACAAAAGGTCTAGAACGAAATTTTATTATCTCTTCGATTCGGAGATATTCTTTGAGAATCGAACTATCGGTTGAATTACTTCGTTTATTATCTTGAGATTTGAGAGCATTAGGGGAGGTAAAATAGGAATGCGGAAAGTTTTGGTACCCGGGGATTTGAAGGTGTTTTAATTGAGGAGTATTTTTAATAAATCAGATCTGGAGATTTATCGGAAATAGACTTTCCTTTGGCCTTTTAATTTCGTGGAGAACCTCAAAAATCGATTGTTCTGACATGTGTGCCATAAATGGGCCGAATTTTCAATCGATTAGCGCATGACCTGTAACTAAGAATCTTTTGCGTTCAAACTGGGCGATTCGTATTTAACAACTCAAGTTATTTTTTGCCCGAGATCTCATTTTGAGGATATCCAAATCATAGAATTTTTTTCCCTGAAATACTCGTCTACTTTTTAGTTTGAGATGAGAATCAGATGTTCAAACATCTCAAATTCCAAATGAATTCTTCAATGTTCAGGATTTCTCTTATCTATTATCGAGACAGAAATATCCACGCACCCAAGTATTTTGTTTTTTTTTTTATTACCCTTTAAACATTGGTTGAGGATCAGACCTCTCATTTGGGACTTATTTACCCTCGGTTTCCAGAAATTTTGCTGCGATAATTTGAAGTCTAAATTGATTATAAAAATATTTTTCTCGCGTAATTTCGTGGAAAAGTTGAAGAGGCGCGGTTTAATTGACAAATTTGATAATTGAATCTGGTATAACGTCCGAGTGATACCAGACTGGAAAAGTTGCTTGGATATCCTCAAGGAAGAAACAGTCCTGATAGAAATAAAGCATGTATTATTCTCGTTTCCCCAGATTCGGCACATAAGGCAACAAGAGGGTACGAATAGTCATGCCGTACAGCAAGGGGAAGTCTCCTCCTCAAACCCGGGTATCCTATCTAACGATCAAGTTGGACCAATTTTACTTGAGGTAAAATCACCGAAAAATCAGTCTAACCCCAGTGTAATGAAATTTAATTTTTTATAGGCATTAGATGGTTTTCTTTTCGTCGTTAATACGGAGGGTAAAGTGGAGCACGTTACGGATAATATCCAGCACTATCTGAATTATACCAAGGACGATGTACTCGGGAAAGTTATTTATAATATTATTCACCATGGCGATCATCAGTCTTTCATGCCAAATTTAATACCTATTCCATTGGGTCAGTATTTGTACTATTTGATTCCTTCTGGAGGTACCTGAATGAGACAGTTCCTGCCACTGGTGAAATATTATTACAATTTCTGTAATTTCTTTTGACACTTCCTCGTTAATATTCCATTTGAAAAATTGTCAAGGAGCTATTGACAATAATTATTGATTCGATGGATTATCTTCGGTCTTTGTCGTGTGAATAAAGGCAAAAAGGGGAAAAACATAATTTATCGAGCCCCTATTGCGTCGCAGAGACTGTCGCATTAAGATATCCCCCTAGAACTCTCTTGAATCAATCAAGCTCTCTCCTGGGATTGAACCCTCTTCTTCGATCTATTTATTCATTGCTCTCTTTTTTTCCTTTTCTTTTTGTCATAAATAGGGCTGCCGAACGTCGAACCTCAGCCGCAAGCGAGAAATCGTATGTTCAGCTGTCGTTTTTTGGTGAAGCCACCTGATGATAAAGACGAGACTATGGAAGAGAAGCAGCAGCGTGTATTCAAATACGAAACAATGCATATATCCTCGGCTTTACTCCCAAATACCGGTGATCATTTGGAGAGTGGTGATGTATCATCTGAATCGTCGGACATTGGTCCATGTATACTGTGTGTTGCACGTCGGATTCCAGTTAATGAGAAGCCGATAAATACAGCAAATGTACAGCAATTTTCCGTTAGGTTGGATACAACGGGGAGGATAGTAGCCGTTGATAAGAGTGGGCTTAAACCTATTTATTCTCAGTACCTAAACAAGGTAAAAAATCTCATACTCAATTTGCAATGCCTTGAGGATATCCAAGGACTTGGTCACTTTATTTATCACTTTTTTTTCTTCCTCTCAATAGTTAGTTAGTCTCGATCTGATCCGATAATTTAATAATAAAAAATTCATACGGATTAAGTTCCATTCATTCGCACTTTACCGCTTCGAAGGAATTCGAGAGAATTTTCATGAATAGGATAATACTAATGTGGCTATAAAAGACACTTGAATATCCTCAAATTCCAATTGCGAGAGATTGAAATGAATTTCCCAAATTTGAGATATCTTCGATAAAACGTGGTAGATGAGGGTTCTTATTGCTGTTCACGGTTGAACGGAGATGAAGATGAGAATGTCCAGTCTGGTCCTTCGGATGGACATCCATCACGCGTGAAGGTTATGACGCAAATATCCTGAGGGTCACAGGACCCAGGCATTCGAAAAAAAAGGGCGACTCAAATTCCTCTCAAAATATATCGCCCCCCAATCGATCCCTGATTCAATTGCCCAACCGTGAACAGCAAAAAATAACAATCTCACCATAACTCCAATGAATAACGATAAAGTGGTTGATACATACTCCATGGAAAGGGCTCGATGACGATTGAACTAGTTGTCCCTCATTCATTCACTCATCAGTACGTGAGGGTAATTGGAATTTTGAATATCTAGCCCCTATACCGTCATTCAACGCGAATTTTCTTTTTATTTCTGCGATCAAGGATTCTTAACTTTGCCTGGCGCCCACAGAAATTCTTCAGTAAAATTCTTGTTATTTATTTAATTATTTTTTTTTCATTATCCAGGACCTGATTGGAAGTAACATCCAGGACTTGTGTCATCCGCATGATCTCAGTAAAGTAACTGCTCATTTAAAGGATACGCTACAGACTGGAGAGGGAACAAGCGCCGTTTATCGATTGCGAATAGATTCAGATATGTTTCTGAATGTTCAAACAAAGTCTAAATTATTCAAAGCTAATTTGGTGAATAAGCATGAAGCAGACTTCATCATGTCCACCAACTCAATAATTGGGTAAGTTAATTATTGAATAATTCAATGATTCATTTCAATTACAATAATAACGACCTCAGTATTGCCGGTCTAACCATATTACTTTGCCACTTAATCACACCTTATCGATACGAAAACAAGACAACCAAATGAAGAATATAACAACATGATACCACTGAACCCGTTCATCAGACAGCACTGCTTTATTTTATTATTTCTTCGGTGTTGGAGATCTGGCCACTCTTGACAATTTAAGTTTATCCTGTAGCTAAAATTTTCAGTTCAACTCATAACACACTATTTACGTATTATTTGGTATTATTTTACCACCTCAATTCATCTACAATATTTCTCAATCATAAAAAAAAACACTTCTTTAATCACTCCAAAGCAGATTCAGTAATGCAGACTTATAGTAACTGGTTCCATGGTTATTAACTCAACTAAATGATAGATAAGCCTGTAGTGAGTAGTGTTAAGTGTCGTAGAAATAGCCTAAACATGAATCTAGTGAGTACGATAATCAGACAGGGAGAGGATACTGAAATGTCAATTGTTTTTTTCTTGTCTGTTCACGAAAATCCCAGGGACAATGATTTAGCGTCAAGCGAGGGTGGTCAGCTTTCCAACAGCAAAGTGTGCTCAGGACACTCTAGTAACAATAGTGCGAATAATAGTATTAATAATAACGGTAACAATAACAATAACGTTGGTGGTCCGCTAATGTCAGTGGTACATGTGAACGGTCAAGTGAGTGGTATAACCGGTCGTTCAATGAGCAATACAAGTGGACAATTCATGAGTGATAATTCGCTTGGTACTCAGAATTCAAGTACGACAAATCCATTTCATCAATTCACAAGTAACGATGATTTGGAATTTGATATATTTGAAAATTCCCCATGGAATTTGGACAGTAGCAGTTGTGCTGATAGGCCTGAATCGAGAAATACAGTGCCATCAAATTCACGACCGCCCTCCCAGCCAAATCCAACATCACCAAGCCCACAATCGACGTACACGACAAGTGGAGCTGTTGGAGTATCACACTGTAGTCCACTCCAGGCATACAGTCCATCATCGATGATGGGTGGACATACATTCAGTAATACCTTCCCATTCAGTCCACTGCAGGAATCATCCTCACTACTTGGTGGTGTTATCAATGGTAAGGACACCATTGGTGGTACATCGACCTCATCGGGACAATCTGCATCAGCATCGATCTCAGCTCCATCAACACCACCAATAACAAGTTGTACAACGATAAGTGTGACGTCTGGTACGTCATCCACAACATCATTATCAACGATAGCAGCAACACAATCGACCATAACAACGATGACAAATTCAGCTGTTATACCAGTTTCGATACCAACGACTAATTTAATGACAACTGTTGATAACAGTAGTTTAGGCAGTGGTGACTCTGGTAGGCTTAGGAACTTATTGACTAAAGGAGTTAGTGCTAGTAGTGATGAGACACAGGACATGTCTAACAACGAGTCAGAAATTCAGAATCAGAATAACAGGATACTCAAGACTCTGCTCAATCAGCAGGACGACGAGGAATATCCTTGTGAGAATCCAGCAAAATTACGATCGAGTCCTAGTGTTCAAGCTAAACCTATCGGTGAGCATTCCAAATCTACACTTGGAAATCACATGCTTCTGCAGGTAAATATCCATTATTTTCCAAATTTATTGATAAACTTCCTTGAAATTTTCATAAATAAACTTGAAAAATTTTTTTTCTCATCCCTGCAGCTACTGAATGAGAAGAGCGATGAAGATGAGGACACGCGTGCAGGTCTGAAGAAGCAGACCGAGTTGCTGCAGCAGCTCCTCAAAAATCCTGACGAAGAGCGAAAAATGCAGGACTCAACAAGAGATAATGACACACTCCTCCATCGAACTCTTGGTTTTCCATCAGCCTCCTCATCATCATCTCAGTCCATTGACCATGGGCATCATGTGTCCTCCCAGATTGGCCAGAAGAGGCCGAACGAAGATAATGACATCAACATGACCACAAAACGTACTATGGACAATTCCCATCAGGTTTCATCCTCTGGAAGCACCACTGCCTCAAATAATTCGCCGAGCAGGTTGTGGGAGAAGAATAAAATGCTCGCCTCCTTATTGGCTAAGCAGTCCTCCCAGCTAACCACTATCCCACCTATTCCTGCGTCTGTGATATCAGCAACTCCACAGGTAATAATTATTCAATTCCATCCAACAACAACTTTAAAAGAGAATTTTTATAAATCCCCACTGTAATGAAGATGATTGAACATAATTATACTGATTCTTTAGATTTCTTCAATAATTTCAATCGATTATAAAGTATATTGTTTTTCGGTGATTCAGGATAAATTGCCCCAAGTGAATGATCGATTGAAGCAACAGCATCCCCAGCAACAGCAACAGCCATGGACAGCCAGTGGTATGCCACAATCCATAGGCAGTACAGCTACCACTACAATTGCTACCTCGGCCCGTACACCCCTTCAAAATCCATCGAGACAACTACCTCGCCAATCAACCAGTATCTACCTCAGTCACATGCTAAGTCACGTGAGTAATCGTTGAAACTTCATTAACAGTCAGTAATAAAAATCTACTTAAACCGTAGTGATTTCCATACGTATTTATTTGTCATTTTCAGGAGAGACCTCAGTTGGGTCAAATGGATTCTGAATTCGCCAGTAGTGGAGAATTCGCTGGTAACGATTCATTAAACGCCTGGAACAATCAGACAAATGATCGGACCCCCGACGATATTTTGGATCTAGTCATAAATCTCGACCCAGAAGGAAAGCCAATACCTATTAACGAATCAACGATATCGCAGAATATGTTGAATGCTATTGAAATACCCCAGAATAGTTTGCAGAGTGTGGACAAAGAGGCTATAGATACAATTCAAAAATTCCTCATGGGATATGAGAATGAGAAAGCCAGTGCCACGTCTTCAACGTTGACCATGTCATCGACACCGCCAGCATACTCGACAGCGGTACGAAACTTATAAATTCATTCTACTACTTCTTCCATGAGATAATATTTCAATTTGGTTAGATATCGATCCGATTAGATGAATTTTCAAGTGAATTAGACGTTATAATGAGCCGAGGGATTGCAATTGTGTGATTTTAATTTCAGTTGGGTAGTGCAATGTCTGTAACCACAGCCCATCAGTACCAAGCACCCCCTATGTATCAGCAGCAACGTCCAAGGTTTGCCATTCAGACTGCGCTAAGGCAGACAACGACTGCATTCACACCACAGCAACAGGCACAACAGCAGCAGCAGCAATTGTTACAACAGCAACGTACTAAATTAATTCATCAGCAGCAGTTGAAGCAACGATTGCTTCAGCAGCAGCAACAGCAGCAGCTACTGATACCATCGAATGCCACAGCACCTGACCAAATAGCTGCTGGTATACACAATATCGACAGCCTTTTGAATAACACTGTGGCACCCAATGTCTCGTTACAGGTGAGTTTTATTGAGTGAATGATGGAACGTACTGAACGTAATTTTTTTTGTCGCATAGAGGAATTAATGGATGAGATTTCTTTCGGGTTATAGCGATCCAGTGTATCGGACTCTCAAATGTCACCTGGGTATGGAGGCTCCGTCCAATTATCTGCTACTCATCGCCTTCAGCATTCTTATTCTCATCCTGCAACGATAACACAACAGTGAGTATCAGTTCTCATTATTTGCAGGGAATAACTTTCCTCCAGCCTGTCAATTCCACGGGATTAATCTCTTCATTATCATTTCAGTCCTGTTGTTAATAACAATTTCAACAGTGGGCAGCAAGTCTCAGCTCCGTCTCGACTCTCACCACACTCCCCAGCTGGTATGCTGTCATTCTCTCATCCCCAGCCTCTGTCACCTCGAGTCTCCCAGGTAAAATGATTAAAAGAATTATTTACTTGGTCAAAGCCATTATTGAGATTTTTATGTTAACATTTGAAATCTGATTTTTTTTTTGTGTCAGGGAAATTATGGAAATAGCCCACGAATGTTTAACGTAAGTCAAACACGTGCCCAGCAGCAGCCAGCGAATCAGCAGCTACAGCAGCAGAGATCCATGCCCTCACCTGGCACTGCAATTCCAGCCCGACAATCTCCGTATCCGGCCGAGGCATTTCCACCGCCAGCCTCTCCGACAGCCAGTCAATTTCCACCGGTGCAGAATCAAGCTGGTGCAAACCCAACTGGCCAATACAGACTCCAGCGAGCAACATCTACGCCAACAGCAACCACACAATTGCCAGGTATTCTATTATTATATTTAATTACCCTGGGACCATGCACATTACACTTGTGAAGAAGATAGCACAGCCAACACTATGTTTCAAATATTTTTATGATGATGGTAATGAATATTAACGGCTTTAAAGTGATTGATTAACAATACGAAATACCCATGCCAAGGTAAGTATGGATTTAAGATAATCTTATTAATCGTACTATTTTCACTGCATGTCAAATATTTTTCAGTGTAATTAGAATTGATGAAGTTGATAGCTCGTTAATTTGACAATTGATTGACGCTTTAATTCGATTAAGGAGATTCGAGTGGTTTAATGCAGTAATTCAGTAATTATCTTCCTCTTCGTTTCCTGAAAATTATGGTACTGCGATCTCTAGAAGAGTGAATTTTACAATTTCATCATTATATTGTCACTTCAATAACAGAATAAACTTTTCACTTCCTGCATTTATAAAGATAAACACAATTAGTAAAGCAAAACTGCGGCAGCAGAAGTGAACTTTTTGCGTTCTCAATTTAAGGCAGGCGAAATTCAAAATTTAATTTGAAGCGCTGTCTCATCAATCAGTAATTTATAAATATAAAAATAGTGACACCAGCGGTGACACCAGATAAATCACGTCAATTTGGATATTTGATAATTGAATACTAATTCCGAGTTTATTCCGTAAAATCGACGAGTTTAAAAATGCAATGAACGATTAATTGACGATTTATAGTGACGCAGTGAATTGAGCCCTCGAATCGCCTGAATATCAGAAAGAAATCAGTATAGAGGTAGATTTTTGGGGATTGTTTCAGGTGGGGTGGGCTCACCCCGTCACTACGGTAGTGTGAAGGACCAGCAGTCCATGCTATCACCTAGTCATCAGCGTGCTGGCTGTCCCCAAACCCCCAGCCACAATGTTCCCAACAACCAGCACTTCAATCAACAACACAACTCTATGATTTATAGAAATTCCAGTAACAACGTTAATACCCCAGATGTACAGAACAACCAGTTCTGCTACGATCAGGGGAGTGTGAGTGCTTATTCGTCAGGTCCTGAGGACAACAGGTCCCTGTCATCGAGTAATCCAGCGAGTCATCAAATGGGTGGTAAGTCATGTGACCCGGGTTAATGTCATGTGACAATCACTGAGTATCATCCAGTGATTAATAATAACAATAATTACCCACTGGAGAAATGATAAGCAAGTGCACGGTGCCAATAATCTCAGATATTAAATAAAAATACTCGCAATAAAATTCTCCATAATAAGAGATACGGCTTGGGATTAAATCGACGAAAAAAAAAAAATCTATCATCCCCTGTACATAATCATTGAGTGTATCATATTCATTACCACCCATTGGCAAATATTTATCGAGGATATAAGGGGAGTTTGTGTTTTCATAAATTAAAACATTCTCTTGAAATGACCTCACTACATCCTGAACATGTTTTATTTTTATTGTCAGTCGTCTGCATGAAGCTTCCACGTAAATTATCCAAATTCTCACGGCGTCATTTAAAAACTAATTCGCTACTGTGATAATGTTAATTCATTCTTGTTGTAAATAACAATGTACATCTATCTTCACATTCGATGAATTGTACTCGCTCTCCCCCTCGTCCTTCCACTACATTGTACTGTACAGATATTCATACAACTAATTGTTGGCAAGAAAGTGAAAGGAGGAGAATAAAACAACAGTTTTTTGTATTTTGTGAATCAGTGGTTCTGTCCAAGTCATGGATGTGAGTAAAATATCCAACAAAAGTTAAATCCTCGAGCTTTTTGTTGTATCCATTGCATTGTCATATCCACAGTTTTTCCTCTCTCGCTCATGTCCACGTCTCGGACAATGGCACTGACTATCGTTGTTTTCTTTGCATTCTAATTTACAATTGCATAAGAGGAAACTACATATATCGTATACATCGGCTTTTTAAATTGCACTCAGCTTATTTTACTCATAATATCAGTAAATAATGCACAATGCACAAGAACTATTAATAAAATTCATGTCCGTGGTCTCCTCTTATTCAACCCAAGTAAATTAATTAATATTTTTCTATATAAATCCTAATGTGAGAATAAAGCAAATGTTACATCACTTAATGTGCTGTTTGTTGTCGTCCTCATCACCATCATCATCCGTGTTATTCGTCACGATAAATATAATATTTATATCAATCAAACTGACAGATTAATTAATATCTAACGAGAGACAAACGTGAATATTCAGCATGAAAAAAATTTATGACATTTTTTGCTTTAAACGGGATTATCCAATGAACACCTGGCGCATTTGACAGTGTGTTGAATTTTTCCAATGCACCTGCATGGAATAGTCGAGGCAATTTGAATAAATATACCGGGGATTAATCTCCTTCATCGATCCTTCGTTATTTATTTAATTTTCCAATACATTTTCTATTCAATTTCTAGTCAATGGACTTGAATAAAATAATTGAGAATAATTTCAATGAAGGATTGCACTCGACAAGACTAATTAATGTACTTAACTAATAAATGTTTGATTTTTTAATCAGGAACGAACAGTGGAGGCATGACGTCTGAATTCGTGAGACAAGAATTGCGTGCAGTTGTTGGAGCAAGAACACAGCAGAGGGTACCAAGTAATATGCAGAATAATCTGATCGGCCAAGTGTCGCAGGACGATCTCGAGGCCCTTGGTTTATCCTTCGAGATGTCACCAGCGGGTAAGTCACAAAAATAATTTCAATAGTCTCCTCCCCCTCGATTGAACCAATAAGAATAAGATAAGTCATGATAATATGTCACCTAACAAGTGTATCACCCTCGGCCTTGTCTAGCATATTCCACAGCTGCATTATGTCCCCCAGAGATAAATAAAACCCTAGCTGTTCACCATAGAAACCAAATGATCGATACCACCATACCCTCCACTCATTAATTAATTAGCTGTTGCACGAATAGATTACAGATTATAATATATCACCCATCACTTGCATCAGACTCCCCGACCCATAGTGACACGTTGCAAAGTCAGTTTCACATTGATGTAAATATCACGAATTTATCGCAATTATATCCTCAAAAAATATGCTGTGAAAAAGTATTACGAGATTATTCATCAGAAAAAACCGCTGCAGAAGGTGTAAAAAATTGAAAAAAAAAAATAAAAAACAGGCTTTCGGGGAAAGATTGAAAAACCGATAGCCGACGGAACAGTAATAAAATAAATAAAAAAGTAAAAAAAAAAAAACCAACGAGTATCGTTTGCAACGCTATTCCAACATCACCGAGATTTTTCTCATCATCTCCATTACCGCGTCAGTCTCGTCTTTGTATATCATAGTCATCATTTAATTCGCCTGTACGATTACCAATCAACTCACGTGATCATCAAGTATATCGTCAGCAAGGAAATTCCAGTTTAAATAAACGCAAATCAGTTATAAAGACGATTGTGGTAACATGTATTGTTACAATGTCCTACCTAGGTGAGGCTGTGGTTAGTGATGGCCCTGCCAAGAGCTGGGCCATTGGGAGTGCCGGAAGCGCCCCCTCCTCCTCCAGGGTAAGATCCCTCCGACAATTACATTATTGTTTCGTTAAAAATTATAATGTATTATTTTTTTTGTAATGCTCTGTCTCCCTCTTCGCTTGGCTTGAAACAGAACATATCAGTTAAACAAAACCAGAAACTTTGTTGTGCACGATACATTGATTAGTTACTCATAATTATTTTTTACTGTACCAGCGTGACTCTAGGACTCTCATTATTTTATTGATAGTTTTTTTTTTTTTGGCTTTCTACTGCATGAGGATTACGAGGATCATCCAAAAAAATCAACCCATTGAAGATTTTATAGTCTGTAAAGGTTATTCGTTATTCCTATCTCGTTTTCACAATTAATACTTTCTCGACTCTGTCATGTCTATCAATTATGTATCCAGTTATTTTATTTATTTATTATTATTTTTTACTTTAATTCTATTGCCTCACGGTTGTGGGTATCCAGAAGCTTGAGAATTCAATCATGATATATTGTAAGAGTTGATTCATTAAAACTACCACGTACTCTCGAGTGATGTTTATTTTTAGTTTTCTTTTTCATTGAATTTAGGTAGTAATGCTTTTTCACAGTGTAGCTGTCATTTTTATTTATGCTTGATATTCTGTTTCCTACTTATTTATTTTGAGCATAAAGATTGCGCATGCATACGTCATAAGTTTGACAAATTATTTATTTCTTCCGAATTTTTAGAGAAGATAGACAATACGTGAAACTTCTCGGTTGAATTTTACAATCAATTCGACTGGTTTTTACATGATTACTCCAAAATGTGAAAATGTATTAATACGAGGGATGAAAATGGGAGATGATTATTTATGGAAAATTTTCTCATTTTCAGAATACTATGGAGGAAGTAGTTCGAGGTGATCCGAAGTCGTCACTCCTGCAGAAACTCCTGTCAGAGTGACTGCGAAGTTATAAGATGTATGTAATATATGTTAAGATGTTAAAACGTAATAACATCAAGTAATATTGTATTATATGTAATAATGGTAAATAAATATATACAGATGTCTCACCAAAAACCTGATACCAGCCAGTCGTACGTCGTGGTCATATAGTTATCGAAATCACCAGATAATTATCCCAAACACTTAATCAATGGGTGATTGATTGCTTTCTCCTCAACTCATAGAGTCTCTGAAAATTGAATTATGAAATGTCATGGTACAACACCACGTTACAATTGCATTTTTTCCTTCGGTAGAATTTGTAGATTTTATTGAGAATGAAAACAGCTGGCTAAACAGAATACAGTACTACGCGTACACTAGTTGGGTACAGTAAACTTTGGTCATTTCTATCAACAAAAGGATGAAAAATTAAATAAATAAAACTACGTAGGTACCTCACCGGTATACATTACTATACCACTGGCTGTTGAACACATAGAATTATTTATAGGTTTTATTATAATTAATTCGATAAACTCCGATCGATGGAAAAGAAATTAATTAAATTAAACAAATGAAAATGATAAAAAAAAATAGTGAAAAAACAATACCCCTCTATCCACGTTTACCGCTTAATTTAACAACATTTTACCTATTATAGGAGAATATTATCTATATAATATATTTGTGATTGTAAGAAATCCGCAAACCAAATTGTGACAAAGAATGAAAAAAAGGGATAAAGGGGAAAAATGAGAGAAAGAATGAAGGAAAAAAAGGTAAAAAGATAGTTGTTGTTGTTAATATGATTATTATAAAAACTATTATTTTATTATTTTATTACTATTACAATTTGACATTATTAATTATTAATCATTGATCATTATTATTGTTGCAATTATACATAGAAGTGTAAATTATTCGTAAGACAGAAAACATTTTGACTACTACTATATCAGTTTATTCTCATTATTAATTAATATAATGGATTATATTATTACCATTTTAAATAAAAGAACGATATTAGTATTTTCGAGGATAATTCGAGAAGATTTAAGCAACAAATGAACGTGTTACTGCGTAATAAAAGGGTAATTTCAATTCAATTTTAAGGGTACCTCTACAAATATAAATATATTGAAGTATATATTGGCATACAGGTACATTACATTTTTAAAAATACCTGAGTGTATCGTGTATGCATTTAATGTATAGAATATGCATGTGTGCGTGTGCAAACGCCCTCGTGTCTGTACGTAAAAAAAAAAATCGTAGCGAGTTGAAATTAATGATCAATAATACATAATGGATATAATTATGATAATTGTAACAAAATCGATCTTCTATTTTGCATAGCCTGGTGAAAAAAAAAATAAACAAAAAAAAATATGATAAGAGAAATATCGCTCTTTCGGGGTACTGCACACTCATCTAAGTAAGAGAACATTTGTCAGTTGTTATATATAAATAAAGATGAAAATTTAATCGCGTATACGATATATATTTATGTAATTTATTTATATAAATATATATATGTATATACACACCTGTATGCGCGTATAAATGCATGCATACTTAAAGAAAAATGAGAAAACAAGAAAATAACAAATTATATTGAAAAAATAAAAACAAATCTCACACAAGTGTCCTATTTTTCCATAGAGTTTGGCGGCAATTAAACGTAGCTTTAAATTACACAATTCACGAATTAGAATGAAAAAAAATAATAATAATAATGATGAAAGATTGAAAAGCAACAGGGATGAGGAAATAATAGAGGCAATAAACAGCAGGCAGAACCATCGCTCTACCAAATGTCTCATGAAATTAAAAGAGAAAAGAAACTTGAAAAAAAAAAAATCTGTACAACAATTGACCGTTACTCTAATTACAATTGGTAATTCGACCACCAGCTAATTCTTGTTATCGTTATATCGTATTTTTGACCCCTTTTCCCCTAGACCTCTCTCTTCCTCACCAGCTCCCTCGTTTTTTATTGATTATTTTTTATTGGTGCGTATTAATGGTTGTAATAAGTGTTAATTACGTTTTATCATTTGAGTTAAGATGAATGAATTAAACGAAAGTTACACGATAATTAGGAATTACCCTTTTGTCAGCACTATTTATTCGATTTAAAAAGCGAATAAATGTGCTATTTGAAAAATTTTAAAATTTATTAAATTAAAGATATCGTACTCTTCGGAAGTCACGCATAAGTGAGATAACTCTGTTTTCTGTATACGCGAGCATCCATGTATATTTTCCATGTTCTCGTTTTTTTTTTTCGTTTTTTCATTTCCATTATTTTCAGTGAAATGAAAAATTGAATGAAAAATAAATAATTGTATGTCTAAAAGTATATATTATTATATATTTACAGACAGGCTGCATGCATGTGTCTGCGTGTGTGTATAAAGTGAATTTAAAAGACGGGGAAAAATACAAAACAAAATACGTCATATAAATAGATCATATGTGCTTTCTAATGATGAATAATTTTATAAATATAAACGTAATACTTATATTCTGTGTATTACCGTTTATTTCATCCTTTGAGTCCTGTTAAAAGTTCATTACAAGGATTTTATTTAATAAATGAATTATCCAGGTTAAATTAATAAGACTTTTATTTATTTACATTAATCTCCTTTACACTTATGAATTAGTAAAAACTATTATTATAAACTATCTCATCTTTTCAAAAGCTATAGGTTATTCCACAGTTCAATGTAAAATAGATATGACATTTTTACTCTGATTCTTGACAATTACAGAATTGTTGCTCTCATGTCTGTCTCCAGAAATGATTTAACAATAGGAATGAGGAGACCAATGACACTGTCATAAGTCGCAACTTTCAGAGCAAAGTCAGCGATTGTTAGGATATTCTGCTGGGTCAGAATGTTCTTCACAGCCAGTGCGAGTCGAAGCTGTTGAGCTTTGTTTAGCTCATTGATAAGGACATCTGGAACTGATCTAAATTTTCCATTCATCGCGTAAGCAGTCGTGGCACCAGCCAATGTTCCACCTGGAATGGAAAAATAAATTCTAGTGCGTATACACATATTTCCGTGGTAAAATCGTTATCAATTCTAATGAGGACCTGGAAATTTATAAATAATTGCTACCCTAATTATGAATGTTATGAAATCACTGCAAATATCCGTATCGAGTCGAACTGGGTAGATCTGAAAATCAAATAATCATGAATATGTGGGCCTTCACAAATTATTATTACCTAGAGCTACTCCCCATGGACCCAATAATAATCCACAGACTGTTGTGGTAGCACCAACAATGACCCCAGCCTTGACACTGCTTTGCAGAGCAACTCTCATTGACTTTATCTCCCCAATATCACAGACAACCCGTAGAAGTTCCTCCGTGTTCTCACTCAAGGCCATTTTGAGGCATCGATAAGGACAATGACTGGAAAAAGTCCTTCTCGAAAAAGGATTGACGGGTTAAAACAAATGACAGCTCTAATGTTTTGAAGGTTTCCTATTCCTATATAAAAAGAGAGATGGGCCATTAATCGAACATGGCGGATTTCATGGAGATAATCGATTGTAACTATTCTCGATATATTGATCATGGGAATTTTTCATATGGGCATGCGCATAACCAATATCATATGCGCATGCGTATAACAAGCAGAGTATATCTGAGCTTCAATCACTCTCAAAGAAAAATTTCAAGGATTTTGCTCTACGACCCATAGGAGCCGAGATATTTGCATTTTTCTGTTTGGAGCGCTGGAAAACATAAAAGCGCATATTTCCGGTTCCAGCAGACTTCAAATGATGGAGAATCGTTTTCCACGCGGGGGTGAAGAGTCTAGGGGGGGTCCAAATTCCAAGGATTTTGCTCCAAGACCCATCGAGGAGGTATTCATGGAAATTCGAAAATTCAAAATTTTTTTCGAAAATTTTTTTGAAATTTTTTGGACATTTTTTTGAAATTTTTTTAAAAATTTTTTGAAAATTTTTTTTTTTAATTTTTTGTTGGAAATGATGGAGAATCGTATTCCAGGCAGGGGTGAAGAGTCTAGGGGGGGTCCAAATTTCAAGGATTTTGCTCTACGACCCATAGGAGCCGAGATATTTGCATTTTTTTGAAAATTTTTTTGA